GCAATATTACATATTTTCTAAAATAAATATTGTCATATGAATATTGTTTTAAAAGATGGTTTGAAAAGCTCTATTAAACCTTTTCGGTAGAGTCAAACAGTATTAGGTACAGAAATTGAATAAATCACAATGCAAAAAATGCTTTTCTTGCTTTGTTTCGTTTCTAGTCAAAATATTTCAAAGATAAAAATATATATATGGTTTTATTTTTAATTTAAGACTGATTTTGAGTTTTTTACTTAAAAGAAGCTAAATTATCTGCCAATGGGGGAAGTAAAATAATCTTGTTTTTATTTTGTTATTTAGAGTAGAAACAAGACTAAAATTCTAAGTAAGAAAAGCATTTTTTTCGTATAAATAATTAAGTCCAATTAATCTGTTACACCTCCAAACATAATCTTTTGTGCCAAGTTTCTTAAACTCCAAAAAAAAATACAAATGATAAACGTTCACACTATTATGGTTAAAGTGACCCAACAAATTGCTTGTGTTCTGTAGCTCCTGGTCAACTGTAGTTCAGACTCAACATTGCATATTTTGCGATGTGACTATTGCAGATGCGTACATTGCGATATCAATGCAGAAATGATCAATTGTGCAGCCCTACAGTGTATATTTATACTGTTGAATGCTTGTGCCTGACTGGCTGATGAACATTTTAAGCAATGTAACTACTTTTCAACACACAGCTAAGTAATTATTTAAAGTAGCTCCAGACAGGTTTTGACAGCATTACAATTCTATACAACAAACTGAATGATTTGTGCTAATTTACAGCCTTCAACAAGCAAAAATCAAACCAAAACCAATAAAAAGGATGTGAATGAGAACACAGGAGCTGTTTGAGGACAAACACCTGACAAATGTCTTGAAATACAACATCTGAACGGTTCCTTTGTAGTGTGGTGACCAGAACAATTGACTGAGAAATTAAGCAGAATAATTGACTCCGGTCCATTGAATTATTAGAAAATGTACTTTCCTTTTATAATTGAATTACAAAAAAACAGTATATAATATTTTTTTGCATAATATTTCTAATATTTCAATGGCTCTTTGTCAATTATTCCTTATATAAACTGTCTGCTATATTGGCTCCACGTGTAACTTGACATGTAACAAGTGTAGATGTTTTTAGTAACTAATCAAACATTGTGAAGCATATTCTGCTGTATTACAATAATAAAACCTTCATATCTTCATATTAAAATAATTTTTGTTAATTTTTAAATGTGCCTATATAGTTTTTATTAGTTTCATTATGTTAAACTAAATGAGAACATCAGAACGCAGAAATAAAATTCTCAGTTTAATGTAGTTAAAATAATGAAAATGCACATACACATGCAATTTAATTGAATTCATGTTTATTTCTATAGCGCTTTTGCAATGCAGATTGTGTCAAAGCAGCTTAACACCAAAGTACTAGTAAATTAAAACTGTGTCAGTCCCGTTTTCAGAGTTATTTAAACAAGCAAAGAAGCAATCATGTAAAGCATGAGTATTTTTTTACCAAACGTCTGCTGCATTAAGACAGGAGGACTGTGTCCTACAGGCGGTTTGTCAAGCCCACCCACCTGCATGGAGTACACTCATACATCATACTTTAATGTGATGCACTGTGTGTATGCTATTCTAAAAGATAGGCCTTTGTTCTATTTTTGAGTTTATGAACCATAAATGAGAAGGCTCAACCTCCTTTAGTAGAAATACACTAAAATACACTAAAACTGACAATATAAACTAACAAAAAAAGTCTTTCAAACTATTATCAGCAAGTAATATAGTTAATAAAACAAGTAACATTGTAAATTTTAAAGAATTAAAAAATAGTGTAACTCTTAACAATGAAAATAACATTCAGATGTTTTCCTACATCACTTGTGAAGTACTTTTAATATTAAGACTCTATACATGTCTATACATAACGTTAAGCGAGCAGATACACACATAGTACACAAACTATATTTATTAGACTTTTTATGGTCTGTACAAATAAACAGTTGATATTCAGACAAAGTGAATATATTTACATTCCCTTCAAGACGACTAAACAGAACTCGTTTATACCTTAAATGCAGCCTAGACAGCCAATAAGCCAGATTTTAAGCCAGAGCCCCAAGAAAGCAATATTTTTAAACCCTAAATAACTTTCCCTCTATCACAGCATAATATAACGTGTGCTGTATTTTCTCTCCAGGCTGAATTAGTTGACACTACATGACTAACTGCAGTAAATAGGCTGGTGTTGTAGTGGAGTGTGTGCTGCATGCTTACAGTACTGACCTTGCTCCGTGTTCGTCCTCTCTCTCGCTCTCTTCAGGAACTGAAAGCCGCCGCAGGAGCACTGAAGAGCCGCAGGGTCTCCGGCATCTGCCGCCCGGTCTGTCTGAGCCTCACTGTTGCTCTACACGTGGAGACATGCGGCTTTATTAAAGCACGGCGGGTTTGTTTTAATATTGATCATCTCGCTGCCCGGTTTCCACTTCCGTTGACATGCGTAGTGTGTTTGACGGTTACAGTTAAAGAAGGCTGTCAAAATAAAAGCTCATGTTGCTAATGTTCAAAATAAAAGCATGTAGACTCGCGTTTAGTGTGTAGTGTCTGGTTACTTTGTTGGGAAATTCATTTGTTTTTGTTTTTTTATTTAGTTTAGTTTAATTACAATTTAATCAAACTGAGCATGGCATTACATATCATGGCTGGAATATGACGCCTTTTGTTTTATTATTTAATTTTAATTAGTAAAACTATTTTTAAATATTTAATCAGATGTTTAAATTTCATTTTATAAAATAATTTTCATATTGTTTTATTTTAAACAAAATTATAAACAAATTTTAAACAAATTGTACACAATGAATTATAAATATAATTTAAGGTAGTTTTGTTTTATTACTATTTTATCTATTACTTTATTAATTTATCCATTACTTCATTCATTTTCCTTCGGCTTAGTCTCTATTTCAGAAATTGTCACCATGGAATGAACCGCCAACTGTTCCAGCATATGTTGTACACAGCAGATGTCCTTCTTGCCACTCTGTACTGTACAACTATTTCTTTATTTAGCATTTTATTTCAGTTTATTTCTTTATTTTTATTTTATTTTATTGTTTTTATTAAATTACATGTAACTTATCCAGCATACGTTTTAACCCTTAACCCTGTATAAATGTCATTGCATGACTTGAGGGGTGAGTTTGTATGGGTGTTTCCCAGTACTGGGTTGCAGCTGGAAGGACATCAGCTGTGTAAAACATATAATGGAGAAGTTGGTGGTTCATTCTGCTGTGGCGACCGAATAAAGGGACTAAGCCAAAAAAAAATGAACAAATAATTGGTTTGCTCAGTGTTTTTTAAACGATGCAATGATAAAAAACTTAAGTTCCCAAACTCCATTATGTCAAAAAGAAAGACTTTTCATCCAGTGTTCATATTTTTGCCCAGCATTTTTATTCTGTAAATACTTAATGATATATTTCTTAATTTGCATATTTGATTATAACATATTAGAAAGCATGTGATACAAAATGTCTCCAATTCTTAATGTAACCAGACAACTAGGGAAGTTCTTATATTGCAGGCTTGTAGCCAGCCTGGTAAAAGGAACTTTTTTTGCACTTTTTTTTTTTACTTTTTTGCAGTTTTCATCTCATTTTCTATTTAATTATGAGGTTTAATTACTCCATTTAGTGACATTTAAGCACAATTTTTAGCTAGATTAGATGGTTGATGTACCGTATATGAAAAAAAAAACGTATTCATTCATTCATTTTCTTTTCGACTTAGCCCCTTTATTAATTCGGTATCGTCACAGCGGGATGAACCGGCAACTTATCCAACACATGTTTTTCGCAGCGGATGCCCTTCCAGCTGCAACCCATCTCTGGGAAACATCCACACACACACTCATACACAACGGACAATTTAGCCTACCCAATTCACCTGTACCGCATATCTATGGATTGTGGGGAAAACCCACACGAATGTGGGGACACAACTTATTTTTTAAATATAAAGTTAATACATCATATATCATTAGAAACGCATTTTAGCCTTTTGTCATTTGTTAGGCAACTAACAACCTGGTCAGCACACTTAGCTTTCCTCAGTCAGAACTTGGCCATTTGAATAAAAAACAATTAAAATATTAAAAATAATGTAGAGCTTCACAATCAGTTTCTAGCCTCTTTTGAAAGTTTGAAAATTCAGGGAAAACAACAATAGCCTAATTAGTATTAAAATTTACTTTTTTTATTATTATTATTAAAATTACCTTTAATATTGGTGCTTTGGATCTTTTCATTGGTCATTTTCATTTCTCTCAAGAATAAGGTCCAAGAATTAGATTAAAAGTTTGGCTACTTGTAAAAAGGTTATTTCTATTAAACAACAGTAGGACAATAGCTAAAGTTGATTTCACTTTGATGGGTTATTTCCAAAATGTATGATGGCATAGCAGTCAAAATAGGACAAATGAGAAAATAGGGGCAAAAGTTCTGGACCAATGGCACATTCTGGACCTTTGTCAGTGCGGGGTAGGTGGTTCGAACTACACCAACTTCCCCAACTTCGAACTTCCAACTACCCCAACTTATATTTTTACCCTTTTCATCTGCAGTGACTTGCCACTGATCATATTATAATTGATTTAGAAGTGTTTAAACTAAAAACTAAACCACAACATTCACATTTGTCAATCCCAGTGGCATCATCAGATCTAAGAGCACCATCAATCATTTCCTTCACCGTGGTGCCAAACAAACACCAATCGGAAATGACCTTTTACTTTTGCAAACACAAAACCCAACATGCATGCCATTCTTACACCAGTCACCGCTGAACACCATAAAAGATGGACAATGCAGGTCATTGAGCGTGGAAATAAAGGCTCATCTGAGTGTCTTGTGTGTTGTGCCATTCAGCTGCTGGCAGGTGAACAGAGATCAGTCTGTCTCTGCAGAGCATGTGATGCCCGATAATATATAAAAAGAGTTGCTGGATAATGTGCGATTCAATGCGCACACTGACTTTAAGCCTTAAGCACTTGTTTAAACTTGTTCGGCATCCACCTCTGTCATACAAGATGAGAACGGGTCTTCCCATTATCCTCTTTGTTGCAGTGGCAGGTTTCCACAATGGTAAGATTACAAAATAACAACATTTGTACACTGAATTATGTTTTTTAATTTGCTCTGTAAGCAGTTTTAGTTAAATGAATACATGTTTAATAATGCCAAATACATGCTAATGAATACACTTTCAAATATAGATTTAAATGTATTGTGTGTTTTTTTTTTAATTAAAGCTATTTTATTTCAATTATATTTATATTAATATTTATAACTAAACTAATTTGATGTTTTATATATCTATATATTTTTTGTCTGTTATTGTAAATAAGGTAATGTGTGTATAAAGCCACCTCAGAGTAAAATCTAACTATATTTTACAGGCTAATATAATATAATATAATATAATATAATATAATATAATATAATATAATATAATATAATATAATATAATATAATATAATATAATATAATTAATATAATATTTAGGTTACAGTCTGTGTATTTTTTAGTTTTAACAGATTAAATTAAGGTATTATTAGATTGGTCTATTTTTATGTGTGCATGAATTTATCTTTATTAGAATAAAAAATTTTATTACTTTATAACAATTGTTTCATTATTATCTTTATCATATGATTTAATATAGAATGAATGAATGAATAAATGAATTATACTCTCGTTTGTTGTGACAGTTTACTTAATTTATTACAGATTTATTTATTGATTATAACATATTAGATTTGGCTTAGTTGTTGTGTATGCACTAGCTGTTGGCTGATTAACAGTAGAGGAGAGTGGGGAGGGTTGCAGTAGAGGGCAGTTGCAGCAAGACTTATTCCTCCATTTAGGAAAGAACTAAAGTGATGCTATTCATTTCTTTTCGGCTTAGTCCCTTCATTAATCAGGGATCACCATAGCGGAATGAACCGCCAACTTATACAGCATATGTTTTATGCAGCGGACGCCTTTCCAGCTGCAACACATCACTGGGAAATGATAATATTCATACTACATATTCTCAGTTATCCAGTTTCCCCCACAAGTCCAAAAACATGTGCTTTAGATGAATTGGGGAAGCTAAATTGTCTGTATTGTATGTGTGTGAATAGAAGTATAGCAGGAAGGGCAGCCGCTGTGTAAAAACATATGCTGGATACAGTCAAAAAACATTTTTTGACAAACTACTTATTTAAAATAAGCTGAATAAACACAATTCTTGAGATTTCATTAGGACAATTAAATTTTCAATGTTCAATCCACATAAATTTTTTAAAAGTGTTAAGATAACTTAATCAAATTGTGTTGAGACAACATGAGACAACATGAATGAATTGTGTGGAAACCTGCATTTTTTGAATTGGCGGTTCATTCTGCTGCGGCGACCCCAGATTAATAAAGGGACTAAGCCGAAAAGAAAATGAATGAATGAATGAATGAATATTCTCAGTTTGACAGCCATTTGTGACTGTTTTTTCAGCATAAAACTAATTTTTAGGGTAAAATGTAAGTTTTTTAATGTTCAGAAAAGTTTTTTATACTGTCTAATCTGTTATTATAAAACATTATAAATTAATATAAATGAATCTACTGTTTTGTATAGCTATCAAGAATATCAAGAATGTATAGCTATCAAGAATTAAAGCTATTGTATCTCCATAGCATAGAGAGTTTAATCAGGGTCGACAAAGTTGGGACAGTTGTAACATGCTGTTGCAACTCTCCACAATTACAAAATTCATTTAAAAGCTTGCCCAATTTGATAAATGTTTTTCATACTTTCAATGTAATTTAATTTGAAAGAATTAATTCTTTGATTAATTATTAATTTCAAAGTTCAAAGAAGTAGTTTAGTAAAGGATCGGTTTTAAATTTTCAGTAAAAAAAATATTACATTTTTTAGGCTTGATAATTAGTTGCTTTTTGTTTTAATAGTCTATATTTATATGGCCAATTTACCACATTTAACCAATTTACATTCAGTCTGTGTACCTAAAATTAAAATCCAACCTGATGTTTTAGAATTTATTTTATTATTACAATGTAATGAATGTTGCAACTGTGCCTATGGGTTGTTGCAACCATCTCCCTGCATGGGATCAGTTGCAATGTTTCACTTTGTCTGTTCAAGTCCCTGTTGAAAAATCCAGCTTAAACAAGCCGAGGCTGGTTGGTTGATTTTATCTGGTTGATCAGCCTGGTTTTAGAAGGGTTTTGGCCGTTTCCAGGCTGGTTTCCAGTCATTTCCAGACTGGTCTTAGCTGGTCAGGCTGGAAAATGACCAGCTGAGTCCAGCTAAAACCAGCTTGACCAGCCTTGTTTAGGCTGAACATAGCCAGTTTTGGCTGGGCTCACAGCCTGGCAAGGCTGGTTAAACTGGTTTTAGTTGGTCATCTCCCAGCCTATGCTCCCAGCCTGACCAGCTATGACCAGGTGGAAATGGCCAAAACCAGCCTGGAAATGGCCAAAATCCATACATTTTGCAAATATTATCATATGTACACATATTATAGCAGTGTGGGTGGGTGTCAAAAAGATGTGGGCTTATTAATATTAAAATTGTGGGTTTACACAAAGAAACGTCTCTGAGAAACTGAAGGAAATGCAAAAAGAATTGTGACTGTCCCCACTCTTTCCTACTATTTGATGTAGTCTATATTTGCATGTTTCCATTTGTTTGGCTTTGGACTGATTTGTGCATAAACTATAAAATATTATTTGATTAATAAGTCGTAATAGCCTAAATTCATATTTTTAGTCATACAAGCTGTTTTAAATCAGTTTGATGTACGTGTCATTAAAAGTAATTTATTAGTAGTACAAAATTATTTACATAGTCAAATATTGTATCAATGGTTCATTCCGCTGTGGCGACCCCGAATTAATAAAGGGACTAAGCCAACAAGAAATTAATGAATGAATATTGTATCAATATTCTGTACAGTTCATTGTTTTGAAAACTGGCTGGGAAATGTAACGTTAGGCTAAATTACATGTGCGCCTCCTGTGTTTGTAGTGATTTCAGTGTCTCTGGAATCTGACGAAAGTAATGAATCATCCGAAGAGAGAGGTAAAGCTACTCACTCAATTAAACAGACATTTTTCTGTACTGTTAGCATGTAAACACAAACGTGATTTTGTCTGACCTCAGAGTATGCAGAGAACAGCACACCACAGACCACAGGTGCGTTAACAAGGCAGGCGATTTCCGTTCAAATGACTCATATATGAAAAATCACAGACGAACTCTTCTTGTGTACACTTAACTTGATTACTTGTGCTCGGATTGTCAGGTATAACATAATCGGTCATATAATATTTCCACAGATGAGTCGCAGTATGCAGCTGCACACGTGAAAGGTAAGCACTGTGAACAAAACTATTGATAAACTCAACCTTGGGCGTGTTTTTGTGGCCATTTACTTACACTCGCTGTTATTTGACTCTCTGACAGACGATCTCATAAAAACGACTCTTATGGGTATCCCAGCAGATGGTGAAACAAAGGCAGTATCAAATGATACAGGTAAAGAAAACATTTAAAAATAGACAGACAGATGGATACACTCACCGGCCACTTTATTAGGTACACCTAACATGTTCAGGGTTGGACCCCCTTTTGTTTTAATCTTTCATGGCATAGATTCAACAAGGTACTGGAAATATTCCTCAGAGAATCTGGTCTATATTGACATGATAGCATCACGCAGCTGCAGTGTATGTAATCTCCCGTTCCACAACATCCCAAAGGTGCTCTATTGGATTGAGGTCTGGTGATTGTGGAAGCCATTTGAGTACAGTGAACGAGCTCTTCATGTTCAAGAAACCAGTATGAGATGATTCACGCTCTATGGCAGTGTTTCATCCTGCTAGAAGTAGCTATCAGAAGATGGGTACACTTCTGCGAACCTCAGTTGTAACGAATGGTTATTCAAGTTATTGTTGCCTTTCTATCAGTTCGAACCAGTCTGGCCATTTTCCTCTGACCTCTTAGATCAACAAGGGATTTGCGCCTACAGAACTGCAGCTCACTGGAGATTTTCTCTTCTTCAAACCATTCTCTTTAAACCCTAGAGATGGTTGTTTGTGAAAATCCCAGTAGATCAGCAGTTTCCGAAATAACTCAGACGAGCCAGTCTGACACCAACAACCATGTCACGTTCATAGTCACTTAAATTACCATTGTTCTCTATTCTGATGCTGGGTTTGAACTGCAGCAGCATTGAGTTGCTGCCATGTAATTGGCTGATTAGAAATTTGCGCTATTGAGCAGTTGGACAGGTATGCCTAATAAAGTGACCGGTAAGTGTAGACAGACAGAAATGGCACTCAGACAAAACTCATATCATCTCTGTTTCCTCAGATGAGTATGCAGCTGCTCACGTGAAAGGTAAATATGAAGCGAATAAAACTATTTGTGAACTCAAACTGAAGTGTTTGATGCCATTTACTCACACTTGATGTTACTAGCAATTATACTCCATGAATAACTCCAACAGATGGTGAAACAGAAGCAGGATCAGAAAATACAGGTAAAGAAAACAGTGTTTATAGATAGATAGATAGATAGATAGATAGATAGATAGATAGATAGATAGATAGATAGATAGATAGATAGATGGATAGATGGATAGATGGATAGATGGATAGATGGATGGATGGATGGATGGATGGATGGACGGGTGGATGGATGGATAGATGGATGGATGGATAGATAGATAGATGTTAAAATATTGCATTAGTATTATGTAACATAAGCATTATATATTTCAGAGGACAGAAATGATGAAGACTCAAAAGGTAAGAAATTCAAGCTCAGGATCATTATTGAAAATGTATTGTTTATTCAATTAATAGTTCATAATGTGCTCATTAACTGACTTTTGTAGAGTCAAAGGTGCTTGAGAAGGAAGATGATGGTAAGATGACTTCTATAAACTATTAATTATAAATTACATTTAAATCAAATTGATTGTTTGTCAGAGCACATGTACAGAGCCTATGAAATCCAGCAATACTAAAATAAAAATATACGGTAAATAGTAAATAACTTATTTGTTTCATTTCCAACATGAATGTTTCTATGAATAACCAAACAGATGGTGAGACTGGAGCACTAACAAACAATACAGGTAAAGAAAATCACTTTTTAAACTAAATAATCTCTTTATTTCCAGTATAGAATCATAATTTAGTACAGAACATAATGCACATTTGCACAAATACAGGATGAAAAAAGTCAGTTTTTCAGTCATTATGCACATATATTATTTGTGTTGATATCAAACATTTAGAGTATTATTAGTAACAAACATTTTATGTTATCAAACCAATATGAGTTCAGTTAATACAAACAACAATATACTGTAGCTACTCAAATGGTTTGGTATTGCTTCTAGCATTGAGTTAACACAAAAAAAATGTAATTTATTAATTCCCAACTTATTCAGTTTGAGTTCTGCTTGATATTATCAGCTTATGAGTTGCCAGAATTCTTTTTTATTAGGTCAAAGTAACTTTTAAAAAAAAATATAAGCTAAACTAACTTATTTCATTTAGTGATTTTCACTGTTAGCTTTTACAGTGTAGGTTTACAGTGTTGTGTACAAAATGTTGGACAAACATGTGTTTTGCTTATTTATTTTTTCAATAAAAGCCTAAAGTTCTAAAATAATATTTGTGCTTATTTATAATCCTTAAAACAAATATATTTTCGATAGTTATCATCAGGACTCATACTGGTAAATAAATGTGTCAGTCGAAGTGTAACAAATTATTAACATATAATACTTTTCTGATTTTATTTCACATATTGATATTTATCCTGTATTAACCTACAGTATGTGTAGCGTTCTTAAAATTTACACCCAATGATTGAAGAAGATTTTTAGCTTTATGTTTTTTATTGCAATAACAACAGGCAATTACAACAGGTAGAAATACAAACAGATAGAATTATAGTACAAACAATACAAATATTACTTTTTTTGCAACGAGAGAAATGTGACAATTTTTTAAGAAATATAATAAAGGTAGAGCGGAAGAAAGACAATGAGAAAGAAATAAAAACAAAAAATAAAGAAGTAAATGAGGGCACATGAAAAGAACAATACAAATGAATGCAGAATATTAAATAAAGCACATGTTTTATACGTTTTAATTGATATTTTGTTATGAGAATCTGTAATTGTTTTAGGTACAGTTCCAATTCTCGTTAAAAAAAATACAAGCAGATCGTGGGGGACAACAATTAATTATTATTATTATTGCTAAAAAGCATATTAGAGGAGATGGCCTTACAAACAATATTACATTGTTTTTTAGATATGGACAGAGTATATCTTACAGTAAAATCAGAATAAATAAATTAACATTACTGTCTAATAACTGGTTCACTAATATCACCCCATTTCTGAACCAGTTAGTAAATAATAAAGATTTCCTCTAATGTAGAATATTACAGTTGTTCCAAGTTTAAAATTGTGTGGCGGGAAATTGTGCTTGTAATTAAGTTTCCAATCCTAAAGCATTTGCTGATGAAAATGGGAAAGTTTGATAGGAAGTGTATTAATTGAAAAATTACACATTAATAGAGAGTCAATGCCTCATAATCATAGACTGTAAAAGATAACTGAGAAAATTTAGCTGTATGGTAATTTGTGAAATGCAAGTTAGCAGCTATATCAGCACTTTGAGAGTCAGTCAGTCAAAACATATACAGGCAAAACAAAATGAATACATGTAGGCACAAAAATGTTGAAATAAACACCTCTCTTTACAGAATTAGTATTTTTGATAAACGTTTTACATTAAAAATTAAAGCTATGCTAGTTTCGTAGTTATTCATGTGTAATTAAATGTACAATGACATCTAAAATCCACCCTTTTAAAGAAGTAATGAAGATATGTGTTTATTGTAACTATATGGAAACAATTTGTTCTTGTGTTTGAGCCACATGTGACAAAACACTTACGCAATGTTTGTTTTTGACGTAGAAGCGAACACAGGAAGTGACGATGATGTTGGTAAGTGAGGCGCGGCAAAGATTTGTTTATTTCCACACGAGGGCGACAGTGTGCCACTAACAATGCTTGTGTTTGTTTAGAAGCAGACGCTGAGAAAGACAGTAAGTAACTTATATTAATTTATTATATCAAAGCGCTGTAAGTTTTTTTTTTTTTTTTGCCTTACACATTATGTAATATATGGATGAATTCATGTTCTAAATTCTTGTTTCATTTCACATGTCTAACGTTTTTACTGAGGGGATATTGAGACTATCTATCATTTCACAATATAGAAAATACTGCAAACAGCCAGAAAATAATACATTTCTTTATTTTTGTAGAGTAAAAAGTATATAATCAGATAAATTGTGTAAAAAAAGAAAAGTCTACAGAGTACAGATGTGAATACAGGCCCGTAGCCAGCCTGGTAAAAGGGTTGGTCCTTTTTTCTCAAAATATGAACTTTTTTGCAGTTATTCACCTCATTTTCTATTTAATTATGATGTTTAAATACTCCAATAAGTGGCATTTTAAGCACTATTGTTAGCTAGATTAGCTTGTTGTATCTTCCAGTTTTGATGTACCAAAAATATTTCCTAAATATTTATATTAAACAAATATAAAAAAAAAGAGCTCCACGATTTTGTTCTAGCCTCTCTTGAAAACTCATCTAACAACAACAGCCTAATTAGTATAAACAGCTAAATTCAGTCTAGGGCACTTGAAATATGTGGAAAAATATTTAAAAGCCTTTACTGACATGGCTATTTCTGAAAGCTGCGCCTACACGTTTTAAAAACACTTGACTTCATCAGGGTAACCTGATGTAGCCGGAGTTTTAAGGAACAGCCATGTCAATAAAGGCTTTTTAATATTTTTTCCACATATTTTGAGTGCCTTGGGCTGATTTTGATGTTTATTCTGATAAATCCCTTACACAAAGAGCACCGACACATTATTTAAGCCACCCCTGAAAACGTTTTGTTTGATTTTGGATTTTAATACACAACCTAATTAGTATTGAACATTAAAAGGCTGGTTTTGGTGCTTAGGACCTTTTCATTGGTAATTTTTTTCTCTCAAGAATAAGGTTCAAGATTTAAAATAAAAATCAGGCTACTTATAAAATGTTTTTGAATTTTTTTAAAGTAATGAAAGTTGACTTCACTTTTCTTAAAACCTTTGAGTGATTATTTCCACAATTTATGATGACATAGCAGTCTAAATAGGTCAAATGAGAATATTGTGGCAAAAGTTCCGGACCAGTGGCAAATTCTGGATCTTTGTCAAGTGGGGGGGTTAGTTCTTTTGAACTACGCGGATGGGGATGTTTTCATCCACTCTGGGGTGATCTTGAGTCTTAATTTGGCCATAACTATTTCAGTGCTAGCTATTTTCATCTGGTAGAATGATTTTTAGTTCCAAATCCTATTTTGAAACATATTTTCGGAAAATGCTTTGAAATTTGTTTTTAAAGACTCAACAATACACTCTGGGCAAATTTACTACCCTTTTTGTTGAAACATCCGATAAAAACATTCACTAAATTAAACTGCTGTAAAATGCATAACATTTATATTTTTTCAAATTTAATTTCCATAAATCTGTTTATCAACCTCAGTCCTGATCCAAACTACTAAATTGCTTAGAAAATTACAGGGTTTTAACTCTTTAATTTTCAAATTCATAAATGATGTCACTGATTTGGTGATAAAAAACACACACACAAAATGATGTATTTTCAATAATAAAGTAATTGTAAACAGTTTGTTTAACCTTTTATCAAAGTCTTGGACATGTGAAACAACACTGCCTATGATGCATTGTTTGTACTTTAATTAATTTTAATTTTTTCTCCCTAGTTTACTGTTGGTGGCTGTTTTTGCCCCATTGACTTCCATTATAACCACATTTTTTTATTGCAAAGCCATGACACCATATAATCATGCATTTTTGATTGTTGGTGGTTTTTCCTGTTGGAAAAAGGTACAATTTGTCATTTTTACTGTTGATCATCAGTTGGCGCCATTAACCCTTTAGATAGGCCTGGTTTCTGGATTTTATATGGAGTATAACAGCAAATTAAAGTGTGTTTCTCTGAGAGGGACCTTTGCGCACTTACCTTGATGTGTCTGAGAAAATCAAAATATGCATCTCAGCTCTCAGAACTACATGGAGTAAACAAAAACAAAGACTGTATTTATGCACCATCAAATGTGGTTATAATGGAAGTCAGTGGGGCAAAAACAGCCACCAACAGTAAATTATGGAGAAAAAATGAAAATCAAACAATGCATCAAAGCCAATGTTGTTGCTAATCGCTCACATCATTCACATGTTCAAGACTGTGATAAAAGGTTAAAAAATTGAAGCAATTACTTTTTATATTAAAAATACGTCATTTTGTGTGTGTTTTTTTTTCACAAAATCAGTGACATCATTTGTAAACTTGAAATTAAAGAGTTGCAAAGACTGTAGAAAACACAAGACATGTCACTCGTATACTTTTGAATGGGGAAAAGTGTAACTGTCAACAAGGAAAATGAAGCCCCGCCTTCTAGTATAGGAGCCAATCAGTGATGGCTATAGAATGACAATTCTCTGGGGGAGGGGCTCGGACCAGACGTGAGTTTCTGCAGATTTTGTGTAATACGAACATTTAAAAATGAAACTAAATAAAATAGATAGTTGTTGTTTAATTGTATTGGTTATTTCTAATATGACATTTAATCGTAAGCTTGGCATGTAGTTTTGGAGAATTTGATGTTTCCCTATTCAAACAGGATCCTACTGCCCAACAGGCATTTCAAACAGTGGGTGTTTTTTTTCTATTAGAACAAGAAAAAAAAAACATTTTATGTAACCGTTACCATTAAAAAACCTTAACTATTATTTTTCCTTTATGTTATCTGACCAATCATTATCTAAAAGGATCAGTATTAATATTATGCAAGACAGTTAGCCCTAACTGAGTGTCTGAATGGCTGTATTATACTGTATATCTGACTAATAATAATGTTTAATAATATGATAATCTGAATTGTCTGAGTGTGTGTGTGAATGTGAGTGTATGGAAGTTTCCTAGTACTAGGATGCAGCTGGAAGGGCATCCGCTGTGTAAAACATATGCCGGATAATACATTGGCGGTTCCTGATGAATAATGGGACTAAGGCAAAGGAAAATGGATGATTAAATAATTGGCAGTAGTCTATATCATGCAATCATGTTAAAACTCACAACACTTTCAACCAAATTCTGGTGTAGCATGTCCAAAACTTCTCGACTCACACCAAATTGTTGCAACCTCCTAATGAGATCTAATCTCTGCATTGCTTTTTAAAAAAATACACTCTACATTTCTAGCAAATTTTAATTTACTATCGATAAATGTCAGCATAATTGAGTATACCTCATTTTGAAAATAAATATTATTATATTTTTATCAGTGAATGTAGGCAATGTACAAAACAGATGTATTCAACAGATATATTTATTAAAATAATATTTTAGTCACCAAACATATTTAGAAATTGAGAAAAAATACAATCAAATTCAAGCAAAGTGTTGCAAAAATAACTACAAACTAAAAAATGTCAACTAAATTTTTCATGTTTTTTAGATTTTTATTTAATATTTATGGTGGCTTGAGAAAGCTGTTATACTACATAAACATTATTCAAAAGTTATTAGTCTTCTGCTTCTTGTTCTTAAACTTATTTCTATATTCATATGTCCATCTCCTAGACCGTACAACTACAACCACCAAACTAACACCAAACCTTCCAACTGGTCTGACTCGGGTTGCTCTATCTTTTTCAACTGATCCAACTTACAGTTTTCCGAAAACTGATCTGGAAAATTCCTAAAAGTCCCATTGACTTAACATTGGACCAAACTTTTTGACATCATAACTTTGCGCCAGACTGTCAAACAAACTTAAAGTTGGGCTCATTTAACTGAGACTACCAATCTGCCAATCACTGATGACCTTTCCACTTACTAGCTACACCCTAGCAACCACTTTTACCTTAGCAGCTGTCGCATAGACTTCCATTGTAAAAAACTGCCATTGACTTTATATTGGACATACTAACAACATACCAATTCATGCTAACAATATACCAATCCATACTAATCATACTAGCAAACATGCTAATTCATACCACATTCATGCTAACTACATGCTAGTTTATACTAGAAACATGCTAGCGACAGACCAGTTTATACTAAAAACATACTATCCAACATACTAATCATATTCTAAGCATTTGCTAATTCAAACTAAATTCATGTTAACAACCTGCTAATTTATACTAGAACCATGTAGATATTTACATTAGATGTCGCCTACACTGTTGTTGTCTTTGGAAAGAATGCGTCAATAGCCGCCATTTTAGTACAGGGTAGCGCTCCTTTGAAATGAATGAGGGACCAAGCTGTAGTCCAGGACTGTGACCATATAGAGCCAGAGATATGCACATATATCTATGAGCGAGAGTTTACACATATATCTATGAGTGGTGGTCAGTATGCAATTTTTTTTTTAATTACGAAAATTATAATTTTACATCACTTTTCTACATTGATGGATCAGTGACCGCACTGACATTCCTGACAAAAAGCATGTGTTTGTGTGCATGGAAATGTACTATCCACCCTCCCTGTTAAATGATATCTAATCTGTGTTCTGAAACACACCTCCTCTCCTGCTTTCACTTCTCATTCTGACAGAGGGAGCGATTCGTGAGAATGAATCTCCATTATAAACGACTCGTTCACTGAGCCGACAATAATAAAGTTTCTGGCAGCGCAGCATCTTGATGTCAAATTTCTTTTACATTGTTTGCTTATTCTATTCAACAGAACTAGCATAAGCCTGGTATTTAGTGCAAGTTGGAAATTGCAAGGCTAAGTGACTGTATTATCATTAATATTGAGCACAAAAGTTCGTAACAAACAAAAACGTACAAAACAAAATCTTACCCATGAAATGTGATGACATTGTGCTTTGTTTTCTTTGTTTGCTCGTTACTACATCCTTACACAGCGCTTAAGTCCAGCATCTTCACGTTGGCACACTGTCTTGACTAGTGCGGTTGAATGACATTTGTCCTGGAAGCCCTGTACAAATGTGGAGGTGCTATTGACGCATGCTCAGGGTCCCTACGCGATATCTAGTGTATTTATCTATGCTAGAACCATACTAACAATATGCTAATTCATGCTAAAAACATGCTAGCAACGTGCCAATTAATACTAGAATCATGGTAATTTATGTTAGCAGCTGCCCAGCAACCACTCGAGACAACTTAGCAACAGCCTAGCAACACCTTAGCAACCACCACCTAGCAACTACCAAGCAACGCCTTAGTAACCACTCAGAACACCCTAGCAATGCCTTAGCAGCAACCAGAACACCCTAGCAACTGCCTAGCAACGCCTTAGTAACCACCCAGAACACCCTAGCAAACACATTAGCATTGTCTTAGCAACCACTTAGAACAACCTAGCAACCGCCTGGCAATGCCTTAGCAACCGCTCAGTGGTCGACCTCACAATCACTTAGAATACCATAGCAACCACATAGCAACACCTTAAGAACCACCTAGAACATTCCTAGCAACGCCTTAGCAACCGCTGAGCAACTACTCCGAACTGCCATAGCAACTGCCTAGCAACGCCTTAACAAACAAAACACCCTAACAACCACCAAAGTCCCTTTAGGGAAGTCATTTTACTCTGCGGCCATCTTTGAAATGCCTGTTGGGTAGTAGGATCCTGTTTGAATAGGGAAACATCAAATTCTCCAAAACTACATGCCAAGCTTACGATTAAATGTCATATTAGAAATAACCAATACAATTAAACAACAACTATCTATTTTATTTAGTTTAATTTTTAAATGTTCGTATTACATAAAATCTGCAGAAACTCACGTCTGGTCCGAGCCCCTCCCCCAGAGAATTGTCATTCTATAGCCATCACTGATTGGCTCCTATACTAGAAGGCGGGGCTTCATTTTCCTTGTTGACAGTTACACTTTTCCCCATTCAAAAGTATACGAGTGACATGTCTTGTGTTTTCTACAGTCTTTGCAACCACTCAGAACACCCTAGCAACACAATGACTCAGAACACTCTAGCAACCACCTGGCAAGAAACATCCCGATTCATACTAGAAACCTGCTAACCTATATGTCGTTCTCTATCTATGCCAACTACTTTTATTATTTAATTTTTATAGCTACTTTAAACTTTTAAAAGAGGCTTTCTCACGCCACCATAAAGTGTGTATATGAACTTTACTTTTCTAGTTTACTATATAGTTTTTGGAGCGTTATCGTATGTTATTTTGTTAGATAAGTCCCAGATTTGGCTTCAGTACTGACTAATCTAATGTATATGCACAAATGTAATATAGCTTCCTATTAAAAATATGAATTTAAAAGAGAGATTCGTGAGGGGTGTACATACAAATGCTGAGCACTGTATTTCTTTTAAACACACTGACCTTAAAGATCTTAAAGATATATATATATATATATATATATATATATATATATATATATATATATATATATATATATATATAAAAGTTTTATTTGAATGTTATTTGAATGTTATATAATTAATCTCAGTGTTAACTTTTTCTTTCTAGATGACAACTCTGATGATACTAGCATTTATTAATAGAAGAGTGTCTGTGTGGAGTCTGTAATATCTTTAAACCTAAATGCCTTGTTTTATGAAGCATGTTTCTAACCCATACACCACCTCGGCAAAACCTCTGTGTATCATGTACCTTTCACACAAAGCCACTTTCTCTTGAAGACTGTAAGCACTGCTGGTGCAGGTATAAATGTTAGCCTGCAGGTGGCTGTAATAACAGATGAAGAGCAGCAGATGTAGGCCGGTTATCCAGGCCAGCGCCGTCTACTGTCCTTAGGTGCTCGTTTGAGCTTTATTTATATCATCTGCATTGTCCCGGCTTATTTTAGGACCAAAGATGCCATGTTATACAGCCTGATGAAGGCGAGCTGTTTTATGGCAGATTACAAAGCTGAGGAATTTCATTCTAAGGGTTTAAATGTTGATATTTCTCTATGTTCTGTGTTGCTAAATGCATCTTATGTCTGGTGTAATTCTTTTAATGGTCAAATAAAACAGCCAAAACCTAAAAGTCTGAATAGAAGGCTCTTAATGAAGATGCTTTGAGAAGCAAAATTACTCAAGAACTGTCGTTTTTCTGTGAAATTGATCACATTTTTGGCTTAAATACAAACCGGCTAGTGGGATCAGACAAATGGACTTAAACAGAAAAGTATTTAAATTAACTACAAGTAAGACCTTTTAATGGTTTATGATGTTGCAGGGTGAATTAAGAGCTTTTACATTAAAGAACACCTATTTTACTAGTTTTTCAATATTTATGAAAAGTCTTATCTTTAGGATGTGTCTGAAAAGTTTCAGCTCAAACCACCCATCAGATTATTTATTATAGCTTTCAGGATATAGAAATTTTCTGCTCTGAACACAATAGCCCCTTTCAAGCCCCTTTCACACATACAGACCTTTCCGGAAAATTACCGGCAATTTTCCGGAAAGGTTGTATGTGTGAACAGGTCCTTTTTGAAAATACCGGTAAATTCGTTCTGGCTATTTTCCGGAAAGAGAAGTTGTAACATTACCGGCAATTTGCCGGAATGCTGCGCTGTGTGAACGCAGAAGGAAGATTTCCGGAATAAGCTCGTGCACGTCTAGAACGTGCTGACGTAAGACTTCTGCTTTAGCCAATCACAACAGTCAGACGCATTTACGTCCGCGCGGTTTGTGAGAATAAAAGCCTTTGAATATTTTTCCAGACACATTTAGCTGCTAGAAGTTAGTCAGATCACGTTTATATGTTCTTCTTAATGCCAACTGTGCAAATAATCATCGATAAGATGCTTATGATAAGCCGTTGTTTGTTTACCTTCAAGCTTTGCGTGTGCCCATGAAACAGCCTGAGCGTCAGCACACGCACATATTATGAACATCTCGACATGCGAATATGATCCAGTGAAAGTTGTTTACAATATTGATCATCAAAAGAGTTTGTAATTTAGTCAAATGTTTACAAATACAAGCGCAGCCGTTTAAAGCTCATTTGTGGTGAATGATGTCAGAATTTACCGGTATTTTGGAATGGATGTGTGAATGCTCTTTTCCGGAAAATTTCCGTAACGTCCTCGCCTGTGTGAACAGCGCTTTTTTCAATATACCGGTAAAGTCGTTCCGGAAATTTTCCGGATATTTACCGGTATCACTGTGTGAAAGGGGCTTCAAACATACAGACCTTTCCGGAAAATTACCGGAAATTTTCCGGAAAGGTTGTATGTGTGAACAGGTCCTTTTTGAAAATACCGGTAAATTTGTTCTGGCTATTTTCCGGAAAGAGAAGTTGTAACATTACCGGCAATTTGCCGGAATGCTGCGCTGTGTGAACACAGAAGGAAGATTGACGGAATAAGCGCGTGCACGTCTAGAACGTGCTGACGTAAGACGTCTGCTTTAGCCAATCAAAACAGTCAGACGCATTTACGTCCGCGCGGTTTATGAGAATAAAAGCCTTTGAATATTTTTCCAGACACATTTAGCTGCTAGGAGTTAGTCAGATCACGTTTATATGTTCTTCTTAATGCTAACTGTGTAAATAATCATCGATGAGATGCTTATGATAAGCCGTTGTTTGTTTACCTTCAAGCTTTGCGTGTGCCGGTGGAACAGCCTGTGAGCGCCTGCACACGCACATATTATGAACATCTCGACATGCGAAAGTGATCCTGCGAAAGTTGTTCACAATATTGATCATCCACAGAGTTTGTAATTTAGTCAAATGTTTACAAATACAAGCGCAGCCGTTTAAAGCTCATTTGTGGTGAATGATGTCAGAATTTACCGGTATTTTGGAATGGATGTGTGAATGCTCTTTTCAGGAAAAATTCCGTAACGTCCTCGCCTGTGTGAACAGCGCTGTTTTGTATATACCGGTAAAGTCGTTCCGTAAATTTTCCGGATATTTACCGGTACCACTGTGTGAAAGGGGCTAATGTAGCTGTGGCCGTTGCCTTTAATGCTAGTTCTCCCCGTCCACCGTTCCCACATGCCTGTCATAGGTTGCATCTATCTCTGCCTCGGCTATGTCAGATAAACAGCACAGTGACAGACATGAAGGAAGCAGATCTCACCTAACGTTTGTGAGAAATACTACAGTAAGAACTTTACCAATGATTATAAGGTAAAATCATAACAAAATTCATAACAAACATGCGCTGTTTTAAAAACATTTTAAACTTGTAAGTCATTCTTAATCACATTTGATGATGATCGATGATCACAGAGAGCTAAACAGATCTTTTAATCCCAGTTGCTTTGTGCACATCCTGTCTTGTTGATATGATTATACATATTACTATAGAGACGTGTTAATAGCCCAGAGCTTAATTTGTGAATGGCGAGGTCTCGGAATAGATCGTGGTAAGAGATCCGGCATCGAGGACAAAAGTGAAGAGCAGGGGTATGATGGGGCGTTGGATGTCGGAGGGGTGTCGTAGATGAAAATAAAGAGCGGGATGGGGGAGGGGGGGAGACTGTCACGGGCGAAAGTGAAGAGGGTTGGGGAGTCGCAGAAGAAAATGAAAAGCGGACGGGGAGGAGGGCAGTTGAGGAGGGGGGATCTGTAAAATGAGGTGCTGGATCAAATTTCAGAGGTGCCGGATTCAGACTGTTCCAGCCCAAATTAAGCCCTGAATATGCAGCTGTCAAACAAAGCAGTGGGTGGGGAAATCGAACTCAAAAATGGATTTGGATCCTATTTTAACATCACGAAATTTAAAATGACTTTTTGTCTTTATATCACTCCAAAATGACTGTGGACACACTATACCTACACAGTTTTGTCCTAACAGCTTACAAAAGAGGATTTCCATCATAGGTGCCCTTTAATTTGGCCCAAAGGTATAGAACGAAAATGTAACATATTACAATTAAAATACAATATTAACAACAAAAGCTTAAAATCTACACATCTAAAATAACAGAAGGAATATTAAATAAAACACAGGCAAACACAGGTGATACTCAAAAAGACATTTTATTTTATTTTTTCATCCCCAAAGCCCAGCGGACAATAAACAATCCACTTTTATTTTTCTTTGGTAACCAAAAAAATGGTAATTAAAAAAATATTAAGGCAACTACAGCAACTATGTAAGGTCTAAATGTGTTAAAATCATAACCAGATCATCTCCTCTCAGACACGGTTGTAGAAACCTACTGATGGAGCTACTGCTATACAGGCAATCCAAACCAGCATTTAACACCACCATCTCACCCCAGCCTAATAAATAGGGTAAGTCATTCATGTTGCTGTAAAATATATACATATACTGTGTCTGTATTGGTTTACATTCCACAGAAGTACTACAGAAGGTCTATAAGAAGGCTGGAGCAGATGAGCTTCACCATACGTCAAGTTTTAGAGGAATGCCAAAGATCTCCAATCCAGCACAAGTAAACTTCACTACCTTCATGAAAGTTTAATTCACTGTTTCTGAAGTCAAGCGCCACCGCAAAGCTTTACTGTAATACTCTGAAAGAGAAGAGGCTCATGGGATGTTTTTAAACTTATCAGGTTTCAAACGTCAAGCGACGAATAGGAAAAACAGGGGTAATGTTACTTCAATTGATGGTTATAGGACCTTTTTTACCCCTTAAAGGAGGATCTTTTGGCCTCAGTAGTAGAACTGGTCAAGCTAGAGTTTGGGTGTCCTAGTAACGCTTCATCCATATGCAACAACAGTAACCCATGATCACAGAGAACAAAGGGCCATAATCCACCGTATGGAGTTCAATTGTCTACAGCAAACATTTGGGGACGTGCTGCATGTAAGAGAGTTGCCAAGAGCATATTAACTACAGCAGAGCGTTCAGCACATTCTGTGCTTGCAGGAATCTTGCTGAGATGTTTAACTGTATCTCCTAAAGTGCAGGCTGGTCCGCTATAGTTGGTATTAAACGCTTGCTGAAGCTAGCAGAGCTAATATTAACAGCGGTGCAAAACACCAAAGTTAGATATTATGTAAACCACTGAAGAATGAATGGAGACAGAACGTCTGAACTCTAAATGCGTGTAGACTGTTTAGTTTTGTAGTGTAAACTATAAAAGAACTAAAAATAAAACAAAAGACATCTGGAAAAGGACACTGAAACTGTATTAAGGAACATAATGTGAACCAATTTCCTTTGCGAATCAACCCTCACAAGCCTCCTAAAAGTTGGGGTGTCATAAGGCTCTGTTTGAAAGTCTGCTTAAGAAAAGAGTGAAACTCATGCATACTGAATGTACAGAAGGAAAACACAGGTCAATTCCTCATCCCCAAATTCCACTTCTCTAAGAAACTCGTATAATGAAAGTCAAATGAAGGCTAATACTGCATTGTAATTGTTTTGTTGTTTTAACCTTAAAAAACCCTTTTAGTTCTGTACATAATTACATAAAAAACAAAAACGCAATGATTTGACATATGTACAAGAGGGATTTTAAATGGCAACCATTTTAGATATGAAGACATTTTCTTCCCTGGCCTATGGCAAGTGATCTGGTGCAAAGCACAAATCATCAATACAGGCTAAAAAGAATTACGCAGCCAAGAATCGCAGGCTCTTTCCAAAGGGACCTTTTCAACCCTCGCTCATCACGAGGATGACAGGAGGGGGAAGATGAAGAGAGACGGGAGGGGAAGATGGAGACGTGCCCTCCAACTCTCTTGGGATCCTGGTTGCAGGTGGAGGCTCTGTGCGAGCGGAGAGGGAGGCAGAGCGAACCTTCGAGGCCTCAAAGAATGACGTAGGTGAAAAGGGCCATGATGGCGGCGCTGATAAGGCCAGAAATGGGCACCGTGACAAACCAGGCCATGAAGATGTTTCTGAACAGCCGCCAGTCCACAGCTTTCCTGGAGCGCAGCCACCCCACAGCCACCACAGACCCGACCTGAAAATGAAAACACCAAATGCCCTCATCAAAATCCTGCAGATATCAATCTCATTCAAATACACGCCATCTAGGACTTGCTTTGCATCAGTTTGTTTTGCATACAAGTCTTTTTTTTACCTTGCAGTGAGTAGTGGAAACTGGAAGAC